CCATACAACACCCAGCGGTCATCCCAACGGGTGCCCTCCTCAATGTCTGTTTTTAAAGCGTCCAGGCCACAGCCCTGGTTTAAGGAAGGTCTGCTAAAGGAGAAGGGCAAGTTTCTGGTAGTGGGAGCTTATTTGACGCAATGTGAAGTATGAAGAGGAAGATGAGCTAAAATCTTGAGACTGTTGACTCAAACGGAAGAAGCTACTGGATTCCCCCCAGCTTGGGCTGTTTGGTTAGCACATCACAGAGGTGGTGAACATCTCTCAAAAGTGTGAAGCCCACGTCCCACCTCTGCAGAGAACAATGCAGCCGGTCCCTTGAACATCAAACATCCGAATTCATATCTTGACAGCTAGACCACCTTTCCCATGCCCTCTCTCGATGACCCCTTCTTCCATTCTCAGTTTACAATGACACAAGCCTCTGTTTCCCACTGGTCCTGCACAACCAGGATATACAGATTTCAAATGTAAATCCCTTCGAAAGCTATTTGTGTGCACGGCCAAGTGTGTGTCCTGTAGTGTAAGAATGGGAGCCTCTGGAGATACTCCCTGGATATGATACAAATGGTTAAGCTGTGAAGGAAACGTGCTAAGAAAAATACCGGACTAAAGACTTAAAACAAACAACAACAACACAGATTATATACATCACACCCACCGTAAGCACAAGCCTGTGTATCAGTCCACGCAGAAGACAGTAAGGAAACCCGGAGTCCGTGTGCTCCCCACCTTTTAGGACAGGGCTTTTAGAGCTAAGGCAGTGGAAGAAATGTATCACTTCTGCCCATCTGCCCCATTAAAAATCGACATTTAAGAGAGATGGTCATTTTGGTGTAACATTTGCATGTATCCAGTCGTCAAAGTTGTACCACAGTTATGTCCTCTAATTCAAACCTAGCCTTTCAAAGGTCTTAAAAAACATATATGTATGTATATAAATATATATACACACACACACACACATACACACAATGTGTGTATATATATATATACACACACATATACACATATACACACACACACACACACACACCACGCTTGCTTGGAATTGAAGTCATCTGGACAGCCACCAGAGATCAAGTAAATTCTCTTAAAGTCTGGCTTTCCTTGCTAGCATAAGTCCGCTTGTAATACTGAGAACGCCATGCAAGAAACGCAGGAGAGTCTCTCCACTATTTCGAGAAAATGTAAAGGCCACCACTGGATTTGTTTTGTGAGCAGAGGGGGAGCCAAGGCCTGCTGGTACTCACCCCCCGGGCTCGGGCTCAGCCACGCAGCTGGGTGGTGGCGGCTTTGACCACGGAGGCGGGGCCCCTCGGCAGCGCCATCCGGCTGAACTGTGCGCCTTTTCATAAAGGTAGAGGAATTGGGGTTAACCACACTGTAACCCTCCCACCTGAGGAAAAGGCCTGTTTGTTCCGGAAGGCACAGCCCAGCCTTATTTAACTAACTGCAAGCAGCTAATATAAGCACGCCCAAGGCAGCAAGAAAGCTCTAGTCTAGAACAGCAAAGCCATCCATTTGATGAGAGTTCCTCCAGAATCCGACATCCTGAAGGATACCACTCAGGCGCCTCACCTGACGGTTAGCCTGAAAACACCTGATCCTCTCTCCCGCGTCCCGGCCTGGGGAAACCGATAAGGCTGCCGGGCCACGTCTCCGCCTTCAAAACTTTCCACGGCTTTGGGGATTCCGAGCAGGAAAACCCGTTCAGTGCACACGCCTCTCAGCCCTCCCGGGCACGCACGCCTTCCCTAAAGTTGGAGCCCTGCTAGGCGGGCTCCCTTCTCTTACCCTTCCTGCAGCCCCCCGGGGCCCGCAGACCCGGGCCCGGGGGTGGGGACGGCGGGGCGCTGCTCCGGCCGCGCGTCGGCGGGACCGCAAAGCTGAAGTGCGAGCCGGGAGCCCAGCGGCGCGTGGCCAGGCGTTCCCGCCCCGCCTCCGAGTCACCACCTCCGCCGCGTTGCTTCCCTCCGGGCAGCGCGAGCTGGGAGGTGGGCCCCGGGGTACTTTTTTGTCCACGTGTAAACCGGCGAGCCTCTCCGAGCCCCGGGGGGCTGGAGGCAGCTTAGCAGAGACAGGCGGGGGCGGTGGGAGAAGCAGCGGAGTAGGGACGCTCGAAGACCCCAGGATTTGGAAAGCAGTCCGGGGAGGGCCGGCGGTGGGGCCCCCGGGGAGGGCCCGCGGAAGGCAGGGGGCCCCCAGGACGCTCCAAGCGGGCGGGAGCCGAGAGCCGCAGGGGTACTGACCTGTGGCGGGGCCCCCAGGACAGGCCTGACGCTCCGTTCCACGCCGGCAGGTCCAGAGCCTCCACGCCGGAAGGCATGGTGCTGCCCCTGTGCGGCAGGAGGAGGAGACCGAGGGTGGGACGGCTGCACCTGCCTCGGCCCCGGGGTGCCGACCCCAAGCTCCCGCGCTGGAGTCTCAGGTGTGCCGGGCGCTGCGGCCAGCCCGCTGCGCGTCCGGGGTGTCTGCCGGGAGGTCCGGCTAGGGAGAAGCGCCTTCTAAAGGGAACCCGACTGTGGAGCGCTGGTGCCGCCCGCGCGCCCTCCACACTGCCCCCAGGCGGCGGGGCCGCGCACTCCCTGCTCCCCGCGACCCCAGCCTTTTTTCGCTCCCTCTTGTTTTCTGCACCCATTCTGCGCATTTCTGCAGTCATTTCTATTTTGATGCGTTCAGGACACACTCAGTGCCAAGCCGAGTGCTGGGTACTGTGGACACCAGCATAAGAAAGACATGGTCCTTTCCTCTGGGACCTTACAAAAACTGGCAAGCTCATTCGGTTAAGTTCATTCATTGGAACGTGTTTGTATTCTGAAGTGTACGATCACAAAACTCTGGGACAAGAGTCATGTTTCGGAGATGTTAAAACTACCGACGCGCAAGGGAAAGAAAAACGAATCGCCTTTCGCTCGCGTGGGGGAGCTTGAGCGAACCCCCTGCTCGGGGAGTACGTGTCCCTGTGACCCCGGGAGGGACAGAGGGGCGGCACAGACTTGCAGGACCCGAGCGTCGGGACTCTGTAAGCCTGCGCTCGCAGCGGCCTCTGCTCTTCCCTCCCAGAGCACGAAAGGTAGGGGAACCGGCCTGGGAAACGAGGCATGAATCTTAGAAGGTGGGGGTCTCCGGCATTTGTCCAAATGTCATGTTTCTGCTTTGGGTGATATTGACTTGGCAGTTTGCACCCGGCCAACAGCCTGTTTTCCTGGGAGCCCTCTTCCTTCTTTTCACGTGATAGCAGCAGCAGAGAAAGTCCGACTTCCAGGAGATTTGGATCAGCGAGTGTGTAAAGGTTTCTGGGTTTAGCGAAGGCAAAGAATATTCTGCCAAGTAATAATTTTAACGTGCGTCTTCAGGTAGATGTAATTGGACAGAATGATGCAAACAAATATACATAATTGACCCTCTTCTGCAAGTCGCTTTTAAGGCAAAAATGACTTAGAGTCCCTTTAATCGAGGTGCCCACTGAGTGCAGACAGGCTTGGAAGATCCCGTTTACCCAGTTAGTACAGTGCCCGCAGGTGGGTGCAAGGGTGGTGTGGTTAGGTTCCTTTTTATAAGAAAACGAGAGGAAATGGAACTCTGTGTTCTTGTGGGGAGGATGTGGACCCCCTTGAAAAAGGCAGACGGTGACTTGATTGCAGAGTGTTGGAGGAAGTATATGGAAAGTAGGAAACATTATGTGTGTATGTATGTACACAATTTTTATAGTAAAGAATTTCCAAGCCTTTAATTCAAAGAAAAGCTTGCCATGAAGGAACAGCCCTATTCACTTCAAAATTCTAGCACTCCACCAGGGACAACAATCCCTTTAGAAGTGGACTGTAAACTGGAATAACTTTTTTGTATCAGCAAACTACCCAAAATACTGAAGTTTTAGAAAACTCCAGTAGAAATTTTAGAACTTCAGTAGAAGTTTTAGAAAACTTCAGTATTTCTACTGAATAACTTATCAGTGGGTAGTTTAAAAGAAAATTCATTGTTAACAGTGCATTTATTAAGAACATTTACCATGTGCAAGGGCTCTGTGCTTCAAGGGGCCAGGAGTTACCCTGTGTGCCCACTAGGTTCGAAGGTTGATTTCCATGTTATCTCACTGAACACTCAGCACTCTGTGTACTGTCATCTGCTTTTGAAATGAGGAAATGGGTTCAGAGAGGTTTAAGTTGCTGCCCTGAGGTCACCCACACAATTTGTAGTAGACCCAAGATTTCTATTCAGATCTTTGAGTTTCCAAAATCTTTATTCTCACTACACTGCTACACTGAGAGAGATCTAATTCACAGTCACTGCCCTTGAATCACTTTCCTGATCTGGAGAAGTTTCCCTCGTTTCATAAAGTGGAAAAGACATACATGCACATAATAGCTATAATTGGTGATGCACACATTACTGACAGGTCTAAAAGCATTATTTTATTTTTTTTATAAAGGCATTATTTAAAAAAACAAACGGTAAATAAATTCTTATCAAATACTGTAGGGGAAGAAATAGTTGCAATAGGGAACTCCAAGTAGCTCAAATTTTTTTTTTAATTTTTTTTTCAACGTTTATTTTATTTTTGGGACAGAGAGAGACAGAGCATGAACGGGGGAGGGGCAGAGAGAGAGGGAGGCACAGAATCGGAAACAGGCTCCAGGCTCCGAGCCATCAGCCCAGAGCCCGACGCGGGGCTCGAACTCGCGGACCGCGAGATCGTGACCTGGCTGAAGTCGGACGCTTAACCGACTGCGCCACCCAGGGGCCCCCCAAGTAGCTCAAATTTTAATGTGCAAGTGAAACACCAGGGGATCCAGAGACTTAGATTTTCCATTTCTTAAAAGCCATAAATACTGCAAGAATAGCTTATACTTATTATAAAACCTCAAATTTCAATGCCTGCAGTCATTATTATGATCCTCATTATATTAAATAATAAGACTTCAGTGTCTCAAGGCTATCTTCATTTAGCCCTTAAAATTAAAAATTAACAAATCAGTTTTCTTTACAAAAAAAAGTTTGCTTTGAGAAAACCTTTATTGCACATAATTAAGTTCATTTCTATTTGAATGAACAGCACACAAAACAAAGATACATGTTGTAAAAATCCCTAAAATTCCAATCAGCAGTATCCAAGGAATGTAGACTTTGTTCTTCGTCTTTTAAGGCATACATTTTCTACTTATTTTTAAGTTATGACCATAATTGTTTTTTTAAGGTTTTTTTTTTTTTAAGTACTTTAATGTTTATTTATTTTTGAGAGAGAGCACATGCATGAGCTAGTGGGGGAGGGGCAGAGAATGACTGACTGAGGATCCTTGAAGAGGGCATTGCACTGACTGGAGAGAGCCTGAGGCAGGGCTTGAACTCACAAACTGTGAGATCATGACCTGAGTCAAAATCCAGAGTCAGACGCTTAACCCACTGAGCCACCCAGACGCCCCAAGAGAAGAATTTAAAATCCGATGATTAGGGATGCCTGGGTGGCTCAGTTGGTTGAGCTACTGACTCTTGATTTTGGTTCAGGTCAGAATCCCAAGGATTGAGCACCACATCAAGCCCCATGTATAATCCCACGTCAAACCCCAAGTTGAGCCCCATGCTGAGCATGGAGCCTGCTTAAGATTCTTGCTTTCTCTGTCTCTGCCCTTCTCCCCCCCGTGCTCGCTTGCTCGCTCTCTCTTTCCAATAAAACATAAAATTAAAATAATAAAATAAAATAAAATAAAATAATTACTGATATATACCAACCACTTCCCCTCTCTCTCAGGGATGAACCCCAGAGAGTGGTCAAGACCAGAGTTAGTGAGTTTTATGAAGTCAGACTAGGCATTGTTCTCCACTGATGACACAATCAATCCAGTAAAAATAGCTGGAAGCAAGAGTGTAAGAGCTGAAGAGGGGGATAGAGAACATATTCTAAAGCTTATGGCAAAATAAACAAGAAATAACAAGAACCCAGTGGCTTCTCTCATCCAAGTTAATTTCAAAGAATAAACCCAATATAAAGCTGCAAAAGACATTAAATATTGCTTTTAAAAATATAAATAGTTCTTGATAAATTATAGCCATTGGTTTGCTCAAAGTAATAGTCTTCAAATATACTGTACCTGATCTTAAAATACCCATACAGTTTCCCAACTCAGCTATATATTATATATCCCTCTAGAGCACAGATTAGTCTGATAGCTACTTTTTACAACAGCAGAATATAGAACCTGGAGGGTCGTCTTCTAATCTGTATTTTCCAGAATTGGGTAGATCTTTGCATTCTGCTATAAATGTACGAAGTTCAGTCTCTGGGAAGCCATCTTGTTGGTAATGCTACACAGAAGAATTAAAAAAAAAAGTTCTCATTAATAAGTCCCTTGAAAACAGCTTTATTCCACATTCAAAATGGATCATTTGTCAAGGGAGGGAATCTTTCTAAAGGGATAATTCAGTCACTTTCAAGTATTTTCAGGGAGATGTAGCCTCTAGAGACATTCTTAGGTTTAGCTAAGGAAAAGTCAGTCTAGAATTCTGCAGTGTCCTCCTGGGCTCTCTTTTATGGGTCTGGCTCAATCCAAAATAGGCATGCTGAATCTAAGTCTGAGCCATCCTTCCAGGAAGAATCCATTCTATATACCCTTTGGGAGTCTCTCTTTCAGATAGACAGGTTTAAGGGTCTTGTACTAACATCAGTTCAGGGTCTAAGATCTCTAGAGCATGTCCTGACCAGAGAGGATCAGCCATCACTTGCCCACCTGACAGGTGCTTTGGGCCCATGGGAAAAGGTAAACACCTAAACTGTGAGTCTCAGACTTGTATCATCAAGAGTTGTTAACTAACATTACTACCTTTGAGACCTTGGCTACCACCCTTGAATAACATATAGTTCTCTGCATGAAGAGCTGAAGGCAGTGAATTTTTAGAGCACAGTGGGGCAGGATTTAGACAGGTACAACTATATTCTTTCTCAGTGGCCTTGGTGACTCTAAGCACACATCTGCCAAGCAAGTATTAATAAAGACAATCAGTTTCTGAAATCTAAGTCAGTAAAAATGAAGTCATGGCCCTGGCTTCACAAGCAAGGTATTCATAATTATCAACTCATCAACTCCTACTAACCCTCTCTTTATCCCCGGGGCCATTTATATGATATCATGTTTCAGTACCCCTTCTCATCCCCAGAAAGTCCCCCAGTGGAAGTGTCTATGTCAATGGTATACCTAATAGTGTAAGGTTATTAGAAATTTAAATATATAGCGATATTTAGCCTGCTTTTCCATATTTCAAAGGGCTCAAAATAACTTTTAAAATATCCCATGTGAGGGACAATATAAATAATAGCTTTTCAAATCAGCTTTTCTAACACATATAAAGCTTACATGGTTAGCACCTGACATATCAATCCCCTCACTCTTCTGGAGATCAGGCCTCAGGATAGTCCCAGGCAGGTCCTTGCCAAGAGTCTGGGTTCGGTCACAGTACACTCCAAACCAAGAGGTTAATTTTTCCTTATGAAAATTGGATTTTATTTTATTTTTTAATTTTTTTTTCAACGTTTATTTATTTTTGGGATAGAGAGAGACAGAGCATGAACGGGGGAGGGGCAGAGAGAGAGGGAGACACAGAATCAGAAACAGGCTCCAGGCTCTGAGCCATCAGCCCAGAGCCCGACGCGGGGCTCGAACTCCCGGACCGCGAGATCGTGACCTGGCTGAAGTCGGACGCTTAACCGACTGCGCCACCCAGGCGCCCCGAAAATTGGATTTTAAATGGTCCCCATCAAATTTTGAAATGCCGCATGTTTCACTTACCCAATGCCTACTGGTCTTTATAATTCTAATACGAGTTTAGAAATCTCGTTTGAAAAAAAAGCACAATTACTTAGAGACAAAACCTAAAATATTCTACAAACTCAAATTCTTCATTTCTGTTTCTCAATATCCACAATTGAAGTCTTTCTTTTCCACCTTGAAAAAATTAACATTCTAGCTGTTCTCCTCCCTCTTAGGTACCATATTTTATTGCCATTCTACAAGTTCTGGAAAAATGCTGCTACTTAAGCTCTTGATGAACCTACCTTAATTGTTTCATATGTATCAGTGATCAGTGCAATGAAAAGACTTAAAATCATATATATAAAGAGACTGATGAATGAGTAGAGGTAAATTCTGCTAAACAACCAGACCAAATAACTTTTTTGCTGCATTTTTGCAAATGTGGCAAACATATCATCTCCATTTATCAGAGAGAAAAGGCACTCGGAGACCATGTTCAGAGAACGGAACTGGAAAAAGAAAAGAGAAAAAGTTCACTTTATTTCACATTCCTTCCCACTGGAGATTGTTCATGACACTATACTAAAAAATAATGGACCAGGTATCCTTGTAAACTATGTAGTTAGCCTGCAGTAATTACAAGCATTTGCTATGTGATACATGCAACCTGTATAATGCCTACTGTTTTTCCTGAACAAGCAGCTCCTTCTTTGTCCTCCCCTTCAGGGGAGCAGCCTGAATTGAAGCTGCTGGTTTGCACCCTCGGCGCTTTTCTGAGTCAAGTCTGACCATTCCCTCTGCCTACATGGAAAGAGATCCTAGAAACACTTATGCAGAGATACCCAAGTCCTAACCATGCATGCTCATACTTCTCATTTTAAAGTTCATTCCATTTGGGATAATGGTATTATAATCAGGACTGACTCTGGTAACAAAAAAAAAAAAAAAATGCATAGATTTCTTCAAGTTCCTCCCTATACTCCCTTTTTAATAAAATCACATTTGCAAAAGTCTTGCCTAAAAAGCTGACTCTTTATTTTTAAAATTTTTTTTAACGTTTATTTATTTTTGAGACAGAGAGAGAGAGACAGAGCATGAATGGGGGAGGGGCAGAGAGAGAGAGGGAGACACAGAACCGGAAGCAGGCTCCAGGCTCTGAGCCATCAGCCCAGAGCCCGACGCGGGGCTCGAACTCACAGACCGCGAGATCGTGACCTGAGCCGAAGTCGGACGCTTAACCGACTGAGCCACCCAGGTGCCCCAAAAGCTGACTCTTTATATTGATGAATCAAGTTGTCTTATCTTGACCTCATAGGTGGTAAAAAAATAAATAAGTAAAATAAAATAAAAAAAGACATAATTATCTGATATAGTCCGCAAAAGGAGGTGAAGTAGCTGAGTGAATCAATTATTCTCTCAAGTTGGTCACACCTTACCAGTTCACAAACATGGCACCAGATATACGACCTTCGACATTTTCAGGCTGAGTCACAAAATAGAAGGAGCTCATTTTAAAAGAATAACTGGCACTATTTTAGGAGCTTGATAGTAACAGGAAAACGTTGTTTATTGGTACCTTATCATGGTAAGGCCCCAGCACAATCCATCCACAGAAGCAATAGCCTAAATAAATCATTGCGGCACAGCAACAGAACCTGATGACATTGGGCAGCGCTGCCTGAAGGGTCAGAATAAGGAGCTAGGAAAGTAAGAGAGGCTGTTAGAATCCCCTTGTCCCTCAGCCAAAGCAGTGCAATAACTCTGAAAGACAGGAATACCAACAGCATGGAGATCCATGGAATCCTTACGTTGTACTTCTGAAAGAAACCGAGGTATCGAACGACTCCGAGCCACACGAGCATGGTGGAAGTCCCAAGAAGTATGCTACAGACGTCATAACTTGTTAGACTCTAAAACAGTGGAAAAAAATAACCAGATTATGTAACAGAAATTCATTGGGACAAAAAATATTTGGTTGCGGGGGGGGGGGGGTTAATAGAAATCAATCAGGCAGTGTTCTAGGTGCCAAGGACAAAGAAGTGAACAGAGAGACAAAATTTCCTTCTCTCCGGAAGCTTGCATTCTAGCGGTGGGAGAGGGGAGAGATAATAGAAATAAATTAATGAAACTCTCAGTACATTAGCAGATAGTTAAGTGCTGAGAAGAAAATTCAGGGGAGGGGAAAAAGAATGCCTCCAGGGTTGCATTTCAAAAGGAGTTGCATTTGAACAGAGACCTGAGGGGAGTGAGAGAGTGCCAGCCAAGCAAAAAGCTAGGAGAGGAGTGTTCCAGGCACAGAGACAAGCAAATGCAAAGGCCCCATAGCAGGAGGGTGCCTCAAAAGATGGAGAGTCCAGCTGCAGTGAGCAATAGGGGAGAGTACAGAGTCACAGAGGTGAGGGGGTAGGTAGTTTAGAGCCTCGTGGGTAATTTAACACCTTTGTATTTTACTCTGATAGGCTGGGGAGATTGGAAAGCTCTGAACAGGATATGGTTCCATTTGGCTGCTATGGTTAAGAGCAGACTGTCCAAAGAGTGAGAAGGCAATTGCAATGATAGAGACGAGAGCTGACGGTGGCTTGGACCAGCCTAGTAATGATAGAGGTGATGAGGTGATTTTTAAAGGTAGATTGATAGGATTTCCTCTTGGATTAGATGGAGGGAAGAAGGGATTAGTCAAAGAAGAGAGTCAAGGATAAATGTATGGCTTTTGTCTTAAGCACCTGAAAAGGACTGCCATTAACTGAAGTTAAAAAAGCCATGAAGAAGCAGGTTTGGCCTGTGGAGGTGGAGATTGAGATTTGGGGTGTTCTGTTTTTTGTTTTGTTTTATTTTGTTTTTAATTCAAGTTAGTTAACATACAGTGTAGTCTTGGCTTCAGGAGTAGAACCCAGTGATTCATCTCTTACATAGGACAACCAGTGCTCATCCCGAAAAGTGCCCTTAATGCCCATCACCCATTAACTCATCCCCCACCCACCTCCTCTCCAGCAACCCTCAGCTTGTTCTCTGATTTTAAGAGTCTCTTATCGTTTGCTTCCCTCTGTGTTTTTATCTTATTTTTCCTTCCCTTCCCGGATGTTCATCTATTATGTTTCTCAAATTCCACATATGAGTGAAAGCATAGGATATCTGTCTTTCTCTGACTGACTTATTTCACTTAGCATAATAACCCTCCGGTTCTATCCACATTGTGGCAAATGGCAAGATTTCATTCATTTTCATTGCCAAGTAGTGTTCCATTGTATATGTACACCACAGAGTATGTTAAATTTGAGGTGCCAAGCAGACGTCCAGATGAAGATATGAAGGTGACAACTGAATATCTGAGACTGGAGTTCAGAGAAGAATTCCAAGCTCAAGACACAGATTTAGAAATCATCGGCAGAGAGGTACTATTTAAAGCCATGGACAGGATGAGAGCACCAAGACCGTGGCAGAAAAGAAAATATGTCCAAACATTGCACCTTGAGGCCTTGTCACTTTAATAGGTTGGAGAGATGAGAAGGAACCAGCAAAGGAAGTCAGAAGACCAGCCTGTGATTTAGGATGGAAACCAGGTAAGTGATAGCTCAGGGGGAAAAGTGCGCCAACAAAGAAGGAATGCTTGCAGTGTTAAAATCTGCTGATGGGTCAAGATGAGGATAAATAACGAATTATTGGACTCAGCAACACTGGAGGTCATCGGAAGGAACATTTTCTGTAGGGCGGTAGGGCGCCCGGATTGGAGCAGATGTAACAGAGAATAGGAGGAACAGAATTAGAAACAAAGGTACCTACGCTTAAGGTCTTTTGCTATGTAAAGGGGAGCCCAAAAAATAGGGAAGTAGCTGGATAGAGAATAGGTTGAGATTTTGTCTCTTATCAAGGAGAAAGAACACACATACTATTGGGAATGGCACGGTAGAGAACAGGAAACTGATGATGCATGGGCAAAAGGAAGAAGAAAAGCTGGAGTTAAGTTCTTAGGTAAGCAAGGGGGGGAGGGGGGTTGGCATCTGGGAGGCACATGGGGTTGGCCATGGAGAGTAGCCAAAATAATATATCCACAGAAACAGAAAAAGCAGAGTGTATGGACATTGATGCTGGCAGGTAGATAAATGAAGTGGAGAATTTCTTTTTCTTTTCTTTTCTTTTTTTTTTTTTTTTTTTAATCTGTGGTTTTGTGAACTAGGAAAGAAGGTCATCAATTGACAGTGAGGATGGGGCAGGGGTTTTAGGGTTTCCAGAAGGGATAAAAACGTGCAACGATCATCTGAAAGATGGGGGAGTGAACGGCCTAGAAAAATGTAAAAAAGATTGCTGGACACCATTAAGAGCTCGATGAGGTTAATGATAGCTGAGGCTGGTAAAAATAAAGATTTGCTGCATATCTCCTGTGCTCCTTTCTTTTTGTTCCCTAGTCCAATGATAGGGACTCCATATCATCCTAAATCCATTCGCTCCTTCCAAGGAGCGAACATGCCTGGGCTGTTTTCCCCAGCTCCCTTGCAGTTAAATGTGACTAAACGCTCTCCAGTGGGATGTGAACAAGAGCAAAGACTACCAAGACTGCCAAGGCTTACCAGACTGGAAAAGCTACCGTCTCGTGTTGCCCTTCCCTTCCCTTCCCTTCCCTTCCCTTCCCACACACGCTGCGACCTGTTCCCGAGGTGACCCAGGATCAACCGCACAATTTGGGCTCCAGAGAAACTCAGTGGCAGGAACATGGGTCCCTGACTGACCGCGTGGAGCTGAGTGAGTTGCCAACCTGGGAAACCCACCCTGACTATTACATGAGGGAGAAGTACGCTCCTATCTCATCTGAGCCATTGCGCGTGGGGCCTCTGACCGGGAATCTCAGTCAGCAGACTCCCCCAGGTGGCTCATCCTCACACTCAGTTGAAGCCAGGGCTAGAAAAATATAAATTTGCACAAGGTCAGTTTGAACAGTATCAGGTTTTTTAAATTTGATTTTTGCTTTGGCGGCGGTGGCGGGGGTGGGGGGGGGTGGTGATTTCTAGGCTGGGTTAATCCTAACTTAGAATGGAAAATCTTGTAGCTTATCAACGGGGAAAGTAAGAAAAAGGCAGCAACTGTCATCACTCACACAGTGGTAGCCTGGCTTCACTTTCACCCAGGGCCCTATTCTTTTTGTTGTTGTTGAAGATTCTAGCATTTCTTGTGAAAACAACAACAAAAAAACCCACCTCTTACCTTCTTTACTTGGGGACATCTGAGAATTCTCGGGCGCACCCCTAGAGCTCAGATTTCATCAGTGTAACATGGAGTATTTTTACCAGGTACCCAAATGCCTGACTCAGAGGCTTGTATATACCTTTGAAAAACTCTGCCTAAGAGATTGCCTGAGTAGACTTAAGAAACTTACTGTTATCGATTTTAAGTTTACTTAACACAATGTTTGAAAGAAACCATTTACTCTGCAAATTCTCACATTCCGAGAAAATATTAGTGCCAATCTGATACTAACAATGGCATAAATAGTAAAACAAAACAAAACAAAACAAAAACCACTTTACCTTAGCTTGGATTTCCATTTTCAGAATTGATCCAATAATTGTCAATATGTCACTAATAATAATCATGATGTACCATCCATTGACGAATTCCATTTGATCAGAAACAGAAACTTCCTTCTTGTAATGGAGGAGGAAAAAATTGACAAATTCCTTTAGGGGAAAGAGGGAGGCACAGTGAATTTCTCAGTCAATTACAATGTCCCCAGCATTCCTAGCAAACAGCAACCCCTACCTGCTGAAGCTGAAGTCCTGTAATCACAGATCGGAGGCACAGGATTAAGGAAGCCAAGCATATCAGAATAACAAAGGCATCAAAGATCATCATGTAGTGAGTGTTCTTCTGAACTGGAAGGAAAGAGCATTACCTGCTTATACTGTGGGACATTCATATGGTGACCTCTACTTTTTTTTTTTCTTTCATTTTTAGCCTCATTTCTTTTAACTGCTGCATGGCATACCACAATATAGACGCATACTCTTTGTAAAGACACTCAGGTTGCAATCTGTTTTTTCCTGCTACAAACAATTCTTCGAGTCCTCTCTGCATGGGTGCAAGTGATTCTTTAGGCGAACGAATATCTAAAGGCGAAATTGTTGGGGTAAGGCATATGCATATTTCTAAGAAAGAAATTCTAAGAAATTGCCCTTCAAAAACATCTTGCCAGTTTACATACCTACACACATCTCCACGTCTTCTCCACCATTGTATATTAATTATCTTTTATTTTTGCCAATGAAAAGAGCAAATCTCATTCCCAATGACATCTTTATCAGGTATTAAATTACTGTAGGTATTCAAGTCCTTATCTTACCCTTTTGATGTTTTTGTGTGTTTTAATGAGTAAGACAAATACCTCTCATTAGTGTTTTATTAGCTATTCTTACTTGTTTTTTTCCCCCATATATTCTTGAGGATCTGATTGTTAAATTCCAATAAAAATCCTACTGGTACTTTTGCAGGGGGGTGGGGGATCATGTCACATTCATAAGTTAATTTAGGGAGAATTGGCATATACATGATGTTAAATCTCTTGTCCAAAAATATAATGTGTTTCCCATTGATTCAAGTCTTTTTGTTTCCTTCAGAAGCATTTTCAAATTTTATCTGAACCCTTCACACGGCTTTTTAGAGTAATTTAGATAATTCAGACATTCTTTCCACAAAGACAACAAAGAGAAAAGGTCCTGGTAAGTGTTCTTCCCATTAGTATGTAAGGAAAGTTAAAAGGCTTTCTTTTGGGGGTGCCTGGGTGGCTCAGTAGGTTGGGCATCCGACTTCGGCTCAGGTCATGATCTCGCAGTTTGTGGGTTCGAGCCCCACATTGGGCTCTGTGCTGACAGCTCGGAGCCTGGAGCCTGCTTTGGATTCTATGTCTCCCTCTCTCTCTGCTCCTCCCCCACTCATGCTGTCTCTCTCTGTCTCTCAAAAATAAAATAAAACATTAAAAAAATTAAAAAAATAAAAGGCCTTTTGGAAATTACTACTGCCATCAATAAGAGATCTTTAATTATAAGCCTTTGGTCTTTTGTCCTTAATACAGTCAGCCTTCCTGCACACCCTATTAAAACATACCTATCTGGGTATAGAATATTCACCAAGAACCCACCGTGTGGCAGTTTTTCTAGATGCTGAGGATACAAGTGGTGAACAACACAGGCCCCCGACCTCGGGGAACTTCTGTTCTACTGCCGGGAGACACGCAGGGATGTAAACAAGGTACATGAACAAAATGCTTTCAGACAGGAGTAAGTGCTGCGAAGAAAAGAAAGCACCATAGCTAACGGGTAGTGCTACGCCACCCATAGTCCTAAGCACTTTGTAGGTATTACCTCATTTGATCCTCACGGCAACCCCAGCAAGCGGGGGTGTGATTATCCCCACTGGACAGGTGAGAAAATGAGGCACACAGAGGTCAGGGGAATTTGCCCGAGGTGATGCAGCCAGCAGGTGGCAGCACCAGGATTCAAATCTTTGCAGTCTGTCTCCAGCCTCTGTCACTCTAGGTTAGTGATGCGTGGCATCCCTTGGGCACTGTTAGGAATGCACTCTGGCCCCACCCTAGACCCGCTGAGTCAGAAACTGCATTTTCACAAGCTCTTACAGATGACACTAGAGCTCAAGAACCACGGCTCTAGAAGAAGCACACGGCTGGTATGGGTGGTGGAGGGGAGAGGCTCATTCGTACAGCATGATAGGGGCCAGGAGGTCTCAGGTGAGACCTGAGTGACAAGACTGCCCCCTACTGGTAAAAAAAAAATAACAAGCACTTAGACTAGTTCGGTAATGGGGCGCCGGGGTGGCTCAGTCGGTTAAGCGTCAGACTCTTGATTTTGGCTCAGGCCATGATCTCGTGGTTCATGAGATCAAGTCCTGCATTGGGCTCTGCACTCACAGTGCACTGTGAGTGCAGAGCCTGCTTGGGATTCTCTCTCTCACTCTCTCTCGGGCTCTCTCTCTCCATGCCCCACCCCCAGCTCGTGTGTGCTCTCTCTCTCAAAATAAACTTAAAAAAAATCTACTGAAAAATATTCAGTAATAAAACATCCCATTAATATTGGCCAAGGGGCATCTAATTGTTACTAAAATGTCTAAATCTACTTTAGAAAAGCTTAAAAACTAAGAAACAAGCATTTGAGAGAAAGCCTGTGGCAGATACTTTCATATACTCTCATGCTTCCTATTCTAAAGTTTGTGGAGAAGTATTGCAATGTTTACAGATAACAAAACAACTTTGTGTTTCAAATAAACAATTCTGTCATTGAAATAAAATTGTGATTTAAGAGCCTCATATATTTGAAGTACCTAATAGTGAAAAAAAATACTAGAATGAAGAAACTTCATGTCATTTTTTAAAAAATTTTTTTACATTTACTTATTTTTGAGAGAGAGAAACAGAATGTGAACAGGGGAGGGGCAGAGAGAGAGAGAGAGACACAGAATCTAAAGCAGGCTCCAGGCTCGGAGCTGTCAGCACAGAGCCCAATGCGGGGCTCAAACCCACGAACCGCGAGATCATGACCTGAGCCGAATTCGAACATGCAACCGACTCAGCCACCCAGGTGCCCCCATATCGTTTATTCTTAATATCTCATTACTGCTTCTGACCTTTGTGACTCAACCAGTAGTTACCCCTAAAGCAATGATTTTCCAAATGTGGCATGAGTAAGGGTGACCTGTACATTCCTAGGCCCCAGCCCAGACCCGGGGACGGCCTTGCAGGGAGCTGGGGTGACTCTTTCGCTCGCCAGAATCTGAGAATCCCGGACCTAATCATTAGGTCCAACACAACATACCAAAGGGGCTAGAAAATGAGATAAATTCTTTATAGTCCATTTTCTGGTTCAGCCCCAAAATTCTCAGTGGTACTCAGTCTATAGTTGAATTCATGTCCATATTTCCAAGAATGTACCCTTTCTTCATGTGGTTTTACTTTTTAACCTATATAGAAGCTAAATATAATGTGAGGGATGCTTCAGGGTCAAATCTTTCCTGATGTCTCTCTCACTGTATGACCAGGGGCACCAAGATTCACTTCTAAGCTTTAGTTTCGTCATTTGCATAAACAGGGATGCTGCCTATCTCAAGGATAGTTTAAAAATATTAAAACGCTGGGATGCCTGGGTGGCTCAGTCAGTGAAGCACCCAACTTCAGTTCAGGTCATGATCTCACAGTCCGTGAGTTCAAGCCCCACGTCGGGCCCTGTGCTGACAGCTCACAGCCTAGAGCCTTTTTCAGATTCTGTGTCTCCCTCTCTCTCTGCCCCTCTACTGCTCACCCTCTGTCTCTCTCTCTCAAAGATAAATACACATTTAAAAAAATAATAAAAATTAAAATATTAAAATGTAGGAGGAAGCCCTTATGTAGTAAGCACTCAATAAATATTAGGTCGGGTATATGTGATTTTCTGCTGGGGGGGTGCGTGCATTTTTTTGTAAGAACTGGGCCAGTGAGGACACATGTAGAAGTCAGCAAAAGTCATCTCAAGTACTAATAATTTATGTCTTGCCTGGAACATCAGATACCTACAATAAGTTGATCTATTTGCAGAGAATTAGGGACTTGGCAATGTTCCAGTTGTTCCCTTTGATGCTCCACATATCCCAGTAGTTTAATAACCCTTTTATTTAATAACCATTTTGAAAACTAGTAAAAGTCGTCACTTACTTGATCCTGATACGTGCCAGTCTTTACATTCTCTGATGGAAATGTCGTTATCTAAGCTTATCTTAATCCTTCCACTGTGGGCCTTATTGTCAAATGTTATCTGTGAAAAACAGGAAAAGGGTCAAAAACATACCTATGGTTTTTGAAGCCAAGATGTCTCTATGCATTAATTAGGACACAAATCTTTCAGGGTGACAGGATGCCCACCCAGATTCTCATCCCCGTGTCAATGCTAACTCTGTTCAACTTTGGGAAGAGCCCTTTTTTTCTTTGTGAAATGAGAAGGTTGAACAAGGTCTTCTGTTGAGAACTTTTGGTCTCTAAAATCCTGTATTTCTAGGATAGTCTTCCAGCCCTGGACAACTTATAAAACAGGAGAACTTCTCTCTCCTTCCCACTCTAAGTACCTCAAGATGCCCTCTTGGTATGAACAAGAGCTGGTCCAAGTGAGCTTTTCCCTCCCTCCCTAGGGACTCGGCGGAGGATAGTTTATATATATATTTATTTATTCATTTTGAGAGAGAGAGAGAGAGAGAGAGAGAGCGAGAGCACGAGCAGGTGAGGGGCAGAGAGAGAGAGAGAGAGAGAGAGTGGATCCTAAGCAGTCTCCCCACTGCCAGTGCAGAGCCCGACGTGAGGCTTGAACTCACAAACTGCAAGATCATGACCTGAGCCAAAACCAAGTTGGACACTTAACTGACTATCCCAGGCACCCCAAGGGATAGTTTGTTAGTGCTGTTGCAGTTCTTACAAACACAGAGGTTCATTATTTCAGGCTTGAAACATTTCGGGTGGCGCTTCTCTGATTTTCATTCTGGGCCTCATTTTCATCCTTACTCACTCTAGAACCATATGTATAAAAAAAAGGATGTGGTGACAGGGAGCCGACAGCCATGTCCTGCTTCAGGGATCACCATTTCAGGACACTGGGCACCAAGTAGGACAAAGCCATGTCAGAACACCTTCCCCAGTCTGTCTTCCCCTTCCGGCTCTCTCCCCTGTCCCCACGCAGGGACAGGGAAAGCAAGACAAGGAGATCAGGTGTGGGTTTTGTTTGTTTTGCTTTGCTTTTAGTGCCTCCTGTCTCAAGTTCTAAAGAAAAAATATTTTTTTCAAAAGTCTGTCATTTAAATGAGTTTTACTGAAGCTTCTTCATGCGGGGTAATCAGACATTACTGCAGATGTAAGGCTTCAGATAAATTTAGTGAGTCTGATCACTCTGTTTCTCTTCATGTTGGACTGCAAGCTTCCAACAAATTAGCTAAAAATAATATCCAAAAGACACTCACTCCAGGCAGAACCCAGGCAGAAAAAGAGAGAAATCATATTAATAATCACATGTAATTAAAAAAAAATTTAATGTTTATTCATTTTTGAGAGACAGATAGAGACAGACAGTGACGGGGGGGGAGGAGCAGAGAGAGGGAGACACAGAATCCAAAGCAGGCTCCAGGCTCTGAGCTGTCAGCATAGAACCTGATGCGAGGCTCAAACTCACTGACCGTGAGATCATGACCTGAGCCAAAGTCGGACACTTAACTGACTGAGTCACCCAGATGCCCCAATCACATGTAATTTAAATGGTCTAAGCACTCCAACTAAAAGGTACAGATTATGAAGTTGGATAAAAAAACAAGAATTAATTCTATGCTGCCTAATAAGAAACCCTCTTTAAACGTAAGACAAATAGGTTAATATCAAAAGGATGGAAAAAGATATACCATGCTAACACTAATTAAAAGAAAGCCGGAGTGGTTATATCCACATCAACCAAAGTAGATTTTAAAGCAAAGAATTAATATTGAGGTAAAAATTGCCACTTCATAATGATGTAAGAGTCAGTTCATCAAGTTAACACAAGAATCCTAGATGCCTGTGGACCTAATAAAGAGCCTCAAAACACATGATGCAAGAATGCACTAAACCGCTATGAGTGAATGCTAATGCCCTGCTTTTACGTTCTAACCAAATTACAGACATAGATAGGAAAGGTTTCATAAATAGCTGTTGCATGAATCAAATATCTGTTATATACCAGATACTTAGGGAGATCCCTTACATATCTCATATATATGCAGTATACTAGATAGATAGGTACATAGATACATAGATACATAGATACATAGATACATAGATGTCTTGGCAACAGCTTTGTTAGGTAGGTGGGCATTAATTCTGTTTTACAAATGAGAAAACTAGGACTCAAACCAATTAAGTAATTTGCCTAAAGTTACATAGCTAGTAACTGGTGAGCTATAATTAAAATCTAGGCTTGCCTGATTCCAAAACTCCTGCATTTTATTTTATTTATTTATTTATTTATTTTTTTGTTTATTTATTTTTGAGACAGAGAGAGACAGAGCATGAACGGAGAGGGTCAGAGAGAGGGAGACACAGAATCCGAAACAGGCTCCAGGCTCCGAGCTGTCAGCACAGAGCCCGACGCGGGGCTCAAACTCACGGACCGCGAGATCATGACCTGAGCCGAAGTGGGCCGCTTAACTGACTGAGCCACCCAGGCGCCCCAAAACTCCTGCATTTTAAATTAGGCATATACTGCCCCAGTTCATGTTTACTTAAACCATAAAGTTGCACTAATTGCTTTTATCATTAAACTACCCTATAGGGTGTAAGTTCTACTACAGTTCTGTGAAACACACTGCTAAATCCACCATGCACAGGGAGAGCTTGGGATGAATCTGCAATAGTGGCAAAAATATAACATCTGCATGTGACTAACCAGCCAGGTTGCTCTCCCCACTGTATTGAGTCATGGGAAAGAGTCTGCATTTTACAAATGTTTCATTCATCCATTCCACAAATATTTGAAGCACCTACTGTGTTCTTTGAGGGATGAAAAAAAATTAGGAGAATGACTCCTGCTTTCAAGGAGCTTTCAATCTAGCTGAGTTGATAAAAATCTAGACAATCCTAAAACAAAGGAGAAGGTGGGTGAGCTCATACAAAACATAAAAACAAAACCAAAAATAAAACTTTGGAGTTGCGAGCACAGAATGTGTCCCTAACTGAAGCATCGTAAAAATGGTCCCTGAAGAAGGTGTCAGTTGAACAGAGCCTTGAGGATGATAAAGCTTCTGAAAGTACCATTTCTCAGTTCAAGAGTGGTACAGGACTGGGGCACCTGGGTGGCTTAGTCAGTTAACTGTCTGACGGTTCGGATCATGATCTCACTATTCATAGGTTCGAGCCCTGCATCAGGCTCTGTGCTGACAGCTCAGAGCCTGAAGCCTATGTAGGATTCTGTGTCTCCCTCTCTCTGCCCCTCCCCTCCCTCACACTCTGTCTCTCTCTGTCTCTCAAAAATAAATAAAATGTTAAAAGAAGTAAAAAAAAAAAAAAAAAAAAAGAGCGGTGCAGGAGGTGGCAAGAGAGAGGAGAAAGAAGAGACAAGACTATGGATAAATAATAGCTCAATTAAAAAAAATCAAGTAATATTGAAAATTCATAACCTCCTGGTTAATATTAGGATCAAAATTTGTAGCCTAACTCAAAATAGTCTCATAGTATTTGTGCTTTTTCCTTTAAATGATATGCATAATGACTAGTTATACTACATTCTGAAATTTCTTTAAAAAACTTGATTTCTCATAGCCAGTTGTTGAATATCATGGACACAGCTCTGGTACAAGCTATTGCTGAAGTCATAGCAATCTGGATCGAGTGAAGGCAAGCTGCATCAAATGCTGTTCAGCATATGCCCCAGATAGCACTGGGGTACTGACCCCGAGCCTCATGAAGAAATGAACTCACCTGGCAGGCATCTTATGTTCTCCAGAGAGCGTTAATAGCGCCATTGGCAACTGGAATATGCAGAACAGAGACGGGCCGAAGGGGGAGAAGCCAGAGCATTCAGAGGCAGCCCAAGGAAGGCACTGTGACCAATAAGCAAAATGTGCACACATCTATGGCGAGGAGACTCAGCGGCAAGAACCCTTGGCAATGGCCATACGCAGACAGCCACAGACTGCCAAGAGCCAACTACACGGGACCTACGAGTCTCTACTCCTTTTGTATTTGAACACCCACCCTGTGCCAGGCACCGTTCTTGGGACTGGAGACACTGCACTGAACAAGGCAAGGTCCCTCCCCTCACAGAACTTACACTGAGGTACAGAAGATAGATAATTAACAAGTAAATGACCACAACAAAATAGAGCCAGCTCTACCAATGCTTCTTCTATGCACATTCAAGTGGAAACATCCTATATATTTGATCATGTTTCAATACAAGTAGATGAAACATGTAACTAAATCAAACAGTTTTCCTTCAGACAGGGGCCAAATTCAGCCCAGCCCACACTTACAGTCAGAGTAAAGTCGTAACAGTCAGGGAGCTCGTGATGACGAATGGTCTGCAGATTAATGGCCTTCAGTTTAAACTGCAGCTCCACTGTTAGGAGTCTAGGAAACAGAGGAGCCTTTAGTGCAGTGAAAACATGCACACACAAATATAAGTTATACTCCCATCTGCCTCCCTCACCTGTGAAAGTCCAGTGTTAAGTTGAGTTTATTTTCTTCCAGTGTTCCAATGTGAAAAGGTTCATCGGGCTCTACAAAGAAACATTCTGCCATAGAAAGGAACAAAACATTCTGTAGATAGCCTAAAATAAATAAGTAAAACTGCATCTTGAAAGGATAATACATTTAAGACTAGATTATTCAGATTCTACTATTCTTCTGAATTAAGATTTAAAAGCCAAAAGTCAGTACCCCTTAGTTACAATGAATCATTTGTTTTTCAAGACACGAGTGGATGGAGGGCAGAAGACATGAATTCTGTCTCATGAGTCTTCTGTAGAATGCTATCTTCCTTCCTGAATCTGGAAGCCTAAATTTTGAGTCCCTTCTCCCTTTTTTGTATCCTAAGCATAAGTTTGAAGAACTTGGAGTACTTAAGACAAAATTGTCTAAGTTTAAAGGATCTATTTTTTTAAATACTATTTTCCCCTCTATACTAGACTATACTTAAGGGGGGGAAAAAAAAAAAAGGAAGACATGGGGCACCTGGGTGGCTCAGTCATGTAAACCTCTGACTCTTGATTTTGGCTCAGGTCATGATCTCACAGTTCATGAGTTTGAGCCCCACATCGGCAGGGATCCACACACTGGGCTCCACACTGACAGTATGGAGCCTACTTGGGATTCTCTCTCTCTGCCCCTCCCCTGCTTGCTCTCTCTTTCTCTTTCTCAAAAACAAACAAACAAATAAATAAATAAACAAACTTAAGAAAAAAAGGGAAGACAGCATTTTAGAAGTTTTCACTAATCTGTACTGTAATCCTTTACTATCCTTCTCCAAAAAAACCTCCCAGTGGCTGTTGTTAAGAGTACTTGAAAATTTAATGTTTTAGGTACAGACTGTAAATAGAACTTTGCTAATAAGAATAAGCCACTGTATTCTAAACTCTGGTTCTGGTTTCTCCTTGAAATGACCCACAAAGATACTAAATAGTGAAGTGCAGTTGAGGGGAGGGAGTTTTATAGACATCGCAAATTTGCAAGTACAACGTCTTCTAAGGATAGTATAAGTCTATGTAACTGGCTTATCCAGCATAAGAGGCAGTGCTATATAGAGGTCAAGGATATAGTGGCTAAGAGCAC